GCAGGGGGGAAAAAAAAAAAGTATGTAAATGTATGTAAATGTGTGTAAATGTGTGTAGATGTATGTAAATGTATGTATGTAAATGTATGTAAATGTATGTAAATGTATGTACATGTATGTAAATGTATGTAAATGTATATAAATGTATGTAAATGTATGTAAATGTATGTAAATGTATGTAAATGTATGTAAATGTATGTGAATGTACGTAAATGTATGTAAATGTATGTAAATGTATGTGAATGTATGTAAATGTATGTAAATGTATGTAAATGTATGTAAATGCATGTATGTAAATGTATGTACATGTATGTAAATGTATGTAAATGTATGTAAATGTATGTAAATGTATGTAGTTAAATGTATGTAAATGTATGTATGTAAATGTATGAAATGAAATGGTCGAAAATGAAATGAAAAGAAAGGAAATGAACAAACCGCATGAACGAACATGAAATGAAATGAAACGAACCGAAATGAAGTGTTATGAAACAAATGAATGAAACGCATGTAATGAAATGAAACGAATGAATGGGTGAAATAATTGAAGGAATGACATGAAATGAATGAATGAAGAAAGGAAAGCAATGGAATTGAATGGAAGGAAAGGAAAGGAAAGGCAAGGCAAGGAAAGGAAAGGAAATAAATGAATGACATGATTCTGACATGCATGAATAAGGAATGATTGAATGAGTGTAATGTAGTGTAACGCAAATGTAATGCAATGTAATGTCAGGAAATGTTTGACTTGGTAATGTCAGTTTGTTTGCATGTACGTGTGTACGTCCGCTCTAGTCTTGTCTCGTCTTGTCTCGTCTTATCTCTTGTCGTGTCCTCTGGTCTTGTTTTGTTTTGTTTTGTCTTGTCTGTATGTATGTATGTGTGTCTAAGCACGTATGCGCGTATGTATGTGTGTATTTAAGTGAGCATGCAAGTATGTACGTAAGTATCTAGGTACGTAGGTGCGTAGGTGCGTAGGTATGTAGGTGTCTAGGTATGTAGGTATGTAGGTATGTATGTATGTATGTATGTATGTAATGTAGTAATGTATGTATGTATGTATGTATGTATATATGTATGTATGTATGTATGTATGTATGTAATGTAATGTAATGTAATGTAATGTATGTATGTATGTGTGTATGTGTGTATGTCTGTCTGTCTGTCTGCCTGTATGTATGTATGTATGTATGTATGTATGTAAATGTGTGTAAATGTATGTAAATGTATGTAAATGAATGTAAATGTATGTAAATGTATGTAAATGTATGTAAATGTATGTAAATGTATGTAAATGTATGTAAAGGTATGTGAAGGTATGTATGTATGTATGTATGTATGTAGGTGTGCAAGTACGTATTTGTGTATGTATGTATGCATGCATGTATTTTGGTATTTATGTATGTATGTATGCATGTATGTATGTATGCATGCATGCATGCATGTAAATGTGTATGTATGCATGTAGATGTTTATGTATGTGTGTATATGCGCAGGTTTGTATGAATGCATACATGCACGTGTGTACGTAGGGATTGGGTTCCCATTTTTCACGGCATTACAACATTACTGTTGAAGGTCCCATCACATCAGAATCATGCTTGAAACCCCACATTGAAATTGGAACTTACGTGTCACCATACTAGGTTCCCCCATGCAGGTGAGGAATCTGCAGCTTTTGGCGTTGAAATTTCGCTTGGTGAAGGAAGCAATGTGACATTATTGGTTCTTGGAAATTCGCTGCCCCGACTTCCTTGCTGATTGATTTTTCGGTGAACAAATTCTTTGTTTCTGACAAAAAACTTTCCGTGCTCCCAGCTGTTGGCGAAGCTAACCAGTATTGAGAACATTTCAAGTGTCACTGTAAACTGGGAGGTGATGTGTTTGCACAACAGTATGGGTTTCAGAATTAAACATGATTCATTTTCAGTATTTGCATACATCGTCAGACTTGCGTTGTGTTCTGAAAGGAAAAAAACCGTGGTAAATGGATATGTCACAAGAAACCCAGTGGTGTTTTCAAGACTGCGCAAAACCGTGGAAATCATGGAAAATCATTCAAGCAGCATACCTGGAAAGCACCTGTTTCTAGCTAGCCGCACCAAAATTCCATGTGTATTCATGTTCACTTCAGTTAATTCTTGCACATTCGAAAGTGAACAATTGTTGTGTCCCGTCATGTGTCTTCACTAAAACCATCCATGCTTTTGGTTTCTTCGGTGAAAGACGCCCATTTCTCACCACGAAGTAGTTAGCAATTGAGAAAAGGTTGTTTTGGCTGCGCATTGCTCGAGCCACAGGAGATCCATTGTGGGGAAATCATCGACGTGCAATCCGAAAGGAAGGGAACGTTTTGGTGATTTATAACATTTATAATCACAGAGAACCCCAGTTGGCCGCTTAAAACCATGCTCTATCTCATGGTATACATGGTATGGCCCCGTGGCTCAAACCTAGGCTCGAGCTTTCAAAATCTGATTTCACCAATTCCAGAGTTTGTTTGCCGTCTACTCAGTCTACTCGCCATTTCGCCACATTTCGCCTGTTCGAAATGGTTCCGCTTTGTGTCCGTGCGCTGGTGCTGACGGTGGTGGTGTCTGCACTGCGGCATTATGAGGATGACTTGGCCCATGAAGATGTAGCGGATGTGGTGGGGCCGAAAGCCATCACTGGGCTTTCAAACCATGAGGGTTTGCAGAAATTCTGGTCACAAATTGCAGCAATTTGATTTCTATCATGTTCTAGTCATTCTAGGATAGTATGCGAGATTCTCCCATTGAAGCACAGAAGTGTTGTTTTCAACATGTGAAACAGGTGCCCGGATGCTCATCGCTGTTCGCAGGTGAAGGATCAGTTCGCGGAGTTGAGCCTGAACTGGACCAGACCCCTTACCCCACGCCTTCACCCAGAAGCTCGGGCCGAACTGCAGCGTAAGCGTGGTGAGTCCATGATCCAGATGGAGAAGGGCTGCAAGCCATCGAAATTTAGGGCTATGGGCAAGAAGCTTGGAGAAGGTGCTTCAAAAAACTGACATGTGGGCGACATATCTTTTTTCTACTTTTTTTAAAATGTTACGTGGCGATCAAAGATATCAAACTGACTTTTTGTTTCAGTTGAATCTGTTCACCAATCTTTTTCAGGAGCATATGCAGCCGTCTACAAGGTGGAGGGGAAGTCTCAGTCCTATGCCATGAAGGTTCCACATGAAGGAGATGCTGAGGCAGACGAAGCTGCTGAGCATGAGATTGAGGTGATGTCTGCAGCCAAGGTTGGAACATGCCGGCAACATTGTGTGTGAACAGCCGCAATTCCTTTCTGACTCCATTCATATCTTTTCTACAAGCAATTTGATGCAGATTGCATGCTTACATGTATGTATGTGGATACAGGTACATAGGCGTGTGTTTCAATACATGACTTTATGTATTATATATATATATTGTTTATCTCTCCTGTGTGTATGTATACTGATGTGTGTATCCTGCTACTGTACATGCATATACACGTGTATGTATATGTATGTATATCTATAATATATCTATATGATACATATAGATATAAATATAAATAAATAAATATAAAAATATATATATATAAGTCTCTATATATATAATTATAAATAAACAAAGGACCAAGCTTCCAACACGTTCCGTCCCCGGCCTCCCGCCCCTGCCGATCCCTTGCCCTCCCCCGCGCCAGCCCCCACCCCCAACACCCCCCCCCGTCCCCGTGCCCCCGCCCGCCGTGGCCCTCGCGGCGGCCGGGTGCGCACTTCCTCACCCCGCCCGCCCGCAAGCCTTCCCAACGCCAGGCCCGATTCCACGCCCCCGCCCCCGCCGCCAATGCCCCCGCCCCCGGAACCTTCCGGCTGGACCGCGCTGGACGGCATCGACCTTGTGCCCGTTTTACGCCAACGCGCCTTCCTTTTCCAATCAGTCCCACGCCGGCTCCAACCCACCTTCCAGCAAGCACTGCGGCTCGCCCTCGCTGGCATCACCCACCCCTCTTCGGGCCCGGAACAATGCCGCGGCTGGAAATTGTTCCGAAGTTCCGGCGACCCCGGCCCGGCCGCCCGGGCCGCCAGGGCCGAGCGCTTGGTCCACCAAGGAGAATTGTCAGCGGCCCGTACAGCCCTCACCGCTGGGCTCCTTGCCCCCCTCACCCCCGCAACCCTGGCCGAGTTGCGCAACCCTGAGCACCGGCCCCAAGCACCTGAGGTCCCCATCGACCCCACCCTCCTCCGCAACGACCCGGAGACCCCGGCCCGTCTGGATGAAGCACGGTTCCTAAAAAATCTCCGCACAGGGCGGCGCGGCGCAGCCCCTGGCCCATCCGGCATGACCGTGGAGCATCTTCGCGTCCTCCTCTCGTGTGATGAAGATTGCCGTCACCTCGCCCACGCCGCACACCTCCTCACCACGGCGGCCATACCAGCCCCCATCCTGCCCGCGATCCGGCTGGGGCGCCTCGTAGCGCTCCAAAAACCCAATGGTCGCGTCCGAGGCCTCGTGCTCGGCGACGTCTTCCGCCGCCTCGTCGCCCGCACCCTCGCCCAACAATTCAGCCCCCAATTCCAAGTGGCCACGGCCCCCCACCAGTTCGCCCTGTCCACCCGGGCGGGCGGCGAAGCGCTCACAAGAGCCGTGCGCGTCGCGACAGAAATTGAGCCGTCCCTGTGCGTCCTCTCCGTTGATGGCGTCGGCGCGTATGATCATGTCGCCCGCCAGGCGATCCTCCACGGCCTCCAGCGGGACGCCGGGCTCCACCCCCTGCTGCCCTTCGTGCGCCAGTTCTACAGCACGCCTTCGGAGTACATCTGGTATGATGCCAGCGGCACTGCTCACCGCATTCTCCAGCACGAAGGGGGCGAACAGGGAGACCCCCTCATGCCAGGCCTGTTCGCCGCCGCGGTCGCCCCCGCCCTCCACCAGACCCACCAAGCGCTCCAGCCTGGTGAGGCCGTCTTGGCTTATCTCGACGATGTCTACCGCCTCTGCCCTGCAGCCCGCACCCGCCCCCTATACGAACGGCTGCAGCAAGCCCTCCAACAAGAAGCCAATGTCTCGCTGAACCATGGCAAGACACGCATCTGGAACGCGGACGGCACCCCACCGCCTGGCTGGCCCGAGCCTGCCCCCAACACCCCCCCCATTTGGGTTGGTGACTGGACCCTCACCCTGGAGCAGCAAGGGGTCATCGTTCTTGGCGCGCCCATCGGCACGGACGAGTATATCGCGGCCCACCTGTCAGCTGTCCGCCAGGACCACGACCGACTGCTTGCCGCCATCCCAACAGTCCCCTCCCTCCAGGCAGCCTTCCTGATCCTCCTCTATTGCGCTGCCCCGCGGACCAACCACCTCCTCCGCGCCTTGAGCCCCGACCACACGGAAGAGTTCGCCCGGGGCCACGATGAAGCAGTATTAGGGTGTCTCCAAGCCATCCTGGGAGAGGCGACCCGGCTCCCCCCAGGAGCCCGCGACCGAGCATCCCTTCCCCTCCACATGGGCGGCTTGGGCCTCCGAAGCGCAACCGCACACCGGGCAGCCGCGTATTGGGCAAGTTGGGCAGACACCTTGCCCGCCTTGCGCCAACATTGGCCCCCCGTCGCCGACCGCGTCGCCCAACTCTTGATGGGGGAAAGCCGCGCCCGCCCCCCTTCCGTCACCGACGCCACACACGCTGCTGCCCACTTGCGCCGCGCCGGGTTCGAGCCCCCGCCCTGGTCTGCCCTGCTCGCCGGCACACCCGGGCCCTCCCCCACGACCACCCGCGCCCCTGGAAACCAACCCGGCTGGCAACAGGCCGCCAGCCTAGCCTGCGACCAAGCCCAGTTTGAAGCGCTTTTACCAACCTACCCTGCCCACGAGCGCGCGCTGCTCTTGTCCCAGGCTGGCCCACACGCGGCCGTTCCCTTCACGATGGCACCCACAACCCCAGAATACACCCTCGACAACCCCCACTTCCGCATCCTACTGCAACGGCGGCTGCGCCTCCCCCTGGACCCGGCCCCGGCCCGATGCAGCTGCGGCGGCGCCCTTGACCCGCACGGCGACCACCGGGCCGCGTGCCCTACCTCCGGACACCTCCGTGTTCGCGCGGCCCCGATGGAACGCGCCTTAGCCCGCGTCTTCCGGGAGGCCGGGGCCCGGGTCAGCGTCAACGTGCCCCTCAGCCACATGAATCTGGCCCCACCAGTCGCTGACGGACGCCAAATCGAAGTACTGGCGCAGGGGCTCCCCCTGTGGCACGGTGCCCAGCTGGCAGTTGACGCTACCCTGACCAGCCCGGTCGGGCGCGACGGCGACGCCCGCCATGACGCCGCCACGGTCCCCGGCGATGCCCTTCAGCGCGCCACTGCCCGAAAGCGCACCGCCACCTACCCTGAGTTTGCCCAAAACAGGCGGTGCCGGCTGGTGGTTGTCGCGATGGAAACAGGCGGCCGTTGGGGCCCCGAGGCGGTCGACCTTGTGCGCGCCCTCGCGCACGCCAAAGCCCGGGGCACCCCCCCGTGGCTGCGGCCCACGACCGTTGGGGCGTACATCCACCGATGGGCCGCCCTCCTCGGCATCGCCACCCAGCGCGCATTCGCGGCGTCCTTCCTTGACCCCCTTCTCCCCGCCCTTGACACCGTCGATGGGCCCCCGCCCTCGTTTCACGATCTGGTGGCGGAAATCCGCTACACCGATCCCCCCTCCCCCAGCCGACTCCCCCCAACACGGGGGGGGGTAGCGGTCTCACGCGCAGAAACTTGTGCGGGTGGTTAAAAAAAAATAAACAAATAAATAAATATATATATATATTTATATATGTATAATATGTATAGAAGTATTTGGATATGGAATTGGCTGGAAACAAAAGCAAAGGTTGAACTGGCAGCATTTTTCTGGAGCCAGGAGCACCATTGCCAGCATGTCTTGCCCTTGATAGAGAAGAACCCTTGTATCAACGGCACGAAGCACATCAACGCCATTGTGACGAAGCTTCTCCCCTTTGACTTTGACAAATGGCAGAAGGACTACAAAGTCCCTAGCAAGTGCCTCTTGAATTGACAGAGAAAACATGGACCCTGAGCTTGCACGCAACACCAGTGTAGTTAGCAACTTGAAGGATACGATTGGTGTTATATAACCACCGTTAAGCTCTTGTCTGGAGGCATGTGCCGCTGCCCCTTGGGTCAAGGTGTATGAGTTTTGATTTGAACTGTTTCCTACCCACCAAGCTGGGGAAAGAGGGGACAGGAAACATCATCAGGCTATCAGAGGGTGTTCGATGCGCTTCGCGATGGATTGGACTGCATGCATGGGTCTGGCTACATGCATGGAGACCTGAAGCCTGACAACATTTTGTTTGAGGACTTCGATGACGATGGATGCCCCACAGGTGTGCAACTTGCCGATTTCGGCATCTCCCGTAAGCTCTCTTCGCTTGAGGGTAAATTTGATGGCGCCTATTTCATGGGTTCATGGCATTTGCCCGGTACGGTCTTCACTCGTGTGGAGGATCCCTTGAAGCTATCGAAAGGCAAATCTTTCTTCACCCCGGATCGCCGCATCGATGAATGTTCCTTTGCCCTGTTGATGTTCCGGTTCTTCAAGCGAAGGGTGTCGTCCATTGTGAAGGACGTGGGCAAGGGTGCCTGCGGCCCCATGGGACCTGGTCGAAAGCTGATGATGCCTTGAGATGCCATGAGAGCGCGAATGATCGGTTTTTGAAAAGGGAGAGAACCGCTGGTTTTGGTGGAAGAGACCTGTTTGTTGGATCGTTTTTCTGTTTGCAATTTTGTTGCTGCGGAATGCCGATGACCCTTGTGCCGGCCGGGTCGCAGGTTGCATGTTGTGACCCAAGCTGCCGCGACCCGAAGCAGGTTTGGGCGCCCCTTGGGGACTTGGGTTCTAGGGCGAATGACGGCCTATGGGTCTTTTTCCGTGGGGGGATTACATAACCCCCAGTCAGGGGTAATTTGCACAGTAATATTGATGATCAACCATCACCCTATCTTCAGAGAAGTTATAGGACTGGAACTGTTCAACTTCATCGTTCCAACTCTTTTGGCAAAAACAGATCGCACTTTTTGAGATGAGGCTTTCGCCAATGATGTCCTGTTTGGCAAAAACCCGCAATTGTTGATGATCAGTTAAGCTTTGCTCAATGTTTTTTCATCATTATTGATGATGAACTCCCCTTACATAACAACATTAACAACGTTAACAACTTCATGGTCAGTTCTTGATGGTTCCAGCCCGTGTTTCGCCGGCTGTGTGGGAAAAACCCAGCTCCGGCTCCGGGCCACCGCGTCTGCTGCGTCGCGGCCTTCCGCTGCGATGGAGGACATGGAACACCAAGCTCCAATGTTGAGTCCTTGGGCGGCACGTGGCTCATTGATTTAAGAAAAGTGAATGAGTGAAACAATCAATGAATGAAATGACTCGAAATAAAATGACATCAAACGACATGAAGCGAAACGACATGGAATGAACTAACGGTTAGTAACTGACGCATCAATGACTCAACGAATCAATAAATGAATCAATGAATCAATCTATGAATTTTATCTTTCTGTATCTAATCCAATTTGAATCTTATTTAGCTTGTCTCATCTATGATCATTTATTTATGGCAATGAGTATTTTCAAAACCTTCAGTCACAAAAACTTGAAACGACTTGATCGTATTCGCCAATAAACGGATGGCTGCCCGGAAAATCACGCTCTCTGAAGGAAATAAACGATGAATATGGGATTTTACCTGGTGCATTTTGTTTACTGGAAGTAATTTCGAATCCTAAATGATTGGCGCAACTTGTAACAATGGCAAGAAGAAGATGGAACAACATCGTTTCGAGGTTGTGTGCGCAGGCAACTCTACTAACCTTGGGTCTATGGTTTTTATTCGCTCCTGCCCCTAAAGATGAGGCGGTGACTTGGGTATCTTGCAGAGATACCTGGAGAGGCAGTTTGCGAGGCAAAATCAGTTACTTGGCGAAAATAAGCCATGGTCAGGGATTTACGCGTCAATTGTTATCATATGACCAACCACAAATGTGGAAATTGATTGGGATATAGTGAGATATACGATACCAGATAGTGGCTGCGCCGGGGCAGACTGGGAGCTGCAACAACGAGCAACTGGTGGTTGAGATGCCAATGAAGTGACATGAAATCAATGACAAGAGAATCAATGCGCGAATGACCGAATGAGTGAATGAATGGAATGGAATGGAATGGAATGGAATGAAATGAAAGAATGAATGAATGAAATGAATGAATGAATGAATGAACGAATGAATGATTGAATGAATGAGTGAGTGAGTGAGTGAACGAACGAACGAACGAATGAATGAATAAATGAACGAGTGAATGAGTGAATGCATGAGTGAATAAATGAATGCATGCATGAATGAAGGAATGAATGAACGAAACACTGAATGGATGATGCATTGAATGAATGAAACACTGGATGAATGAGCTACTAGCCGTTTTCTGTGAAGTCTTCTCGAAGCCACCTCTTCATTGAGCTACTTCTTCACTGAGCCTTTCTTCGCTGAGCCACCTCTTCCCTAAAGTGCCTCTCCTCACAGCTACCTCTTCTCTCAACTACTTCTTCTCTGAGCTGCCTCTTCGGTAGCTTCTGTAACGAAATTCTTCTCTTCGCGCGGCCATGACAATGCGTTTAGCAGCGCAGAGCATCGCAGTATGAGCAAGGCTTCCTGCGTGCCGCGCCAGTGACTTTACAAGCGATATGACTTTTGGGAACATTATTCTCAATCAGAGATCCTATTTTCCGACAACCTCGCTGCTGGGTCCTGCTGTGGCATTGGAAGGCAATTTTTTGGTAGAAGCGTTCCACCTTGGAACTCTTTGGGGTCCGAGTTTGAACAGTATCGAGATGGGGAAATTTTTGTGCCGAGAACTCGGACCCTTTTTTCATGGATGCGGAGTCCACCGCGTGGACCTTGTGAATCCGACATTGACTGCTTCGCCCCGTTAGCGCCACCCCTCAGTGCTCCTCTTGTGGCTCCTTGTCAATGTCGTGTCCTTGCAAGTGACTGCGGCCAAATTTCCCTTTCCAAAACAGGATCCAACAGACCCATGACCATGTCAGGCTGTTGTTTCCTGTCCCCGTTTCGTCCTGAGATTGGTCATGCTGCATGCTCATATAGGTACAGTACTACCGTTGTATCCTTGGTGACAAGTGGGTTTGAACACTCACCAGGATATGCGCACATTGGCATCGCCATACATGAACTGTTCACCCGATACCTGTATCTACATCACCGGCCGCATTAAGGGCTAGGACCACTAAGCAAGCAGGTATCGATAGTATCAATGTTTGTATCTATACATCCATATCCATCTACATATAGATTTGGATGCAGATATTCATATGATTTCATATGCATGTATATAAATCATAACAACCCATGTGCTCACCCATTCCCATTTCATCCAGTTCCTGCCAGTTCCCCAACGAGGCTCCTGCTGGATCTAACTTTCGAAAAGCGGCCGAAGAAAGCCACGGCAGTCATGTCGCCAATGTCGAAGCTTTGCCTCAGGAGGTGATTCTGGAATCTCCATGAAACATATGAAACCCCGGATCCAAGAGGGGAACACCTTGGTGAAATGGCCAAGCTTGTTGGTAAACTCCACTCTAGTTACTCTAGTTTTTCTTTCTCGTTATTTTCACCTTTTGGTTCCCCCATCCTCCAACTGCGTTGTTGCACCAGAACTTGAAGAAAGAATTTGCCAACTCATCCAATAGCCACAGTGTGCCTTTTGCATCCTTTTCAGAAAGGGCTAAAACATTCACAAGATTTCCCAAAAAGCAAGAGATATCAAGAGCAAACCAACGACCAACTTGGTTGGACAAATTGGGCGCCGAATCAAGGAAATCAAGCCTGGCCATCTCTTTCAGTGATGGAGACGGCCACTATCAAGGCTCCCACGATCCAAACGGCGCTCTATCACCGCGGAACGTGCATGCCTTCTTGGACTTGCCGGAAACTATGACCCGCGACCTAGAGGAGCGACCTGACATGTTGGGATGGATCGCAGGCGTTAGAGGGTCGAACCACAAGATTTTGAAGTTGACCAGCTGATACTAAGTGCATGTAAATTCCCCAGATGATCTTTATTTTTTTGTATTCATAAAATTGTGCCCAGGGAATTATTGGAGGATAATGCTGATGAAGTTCTGGAAAGTCAAACGATCCTTGCTTGAGGTGAAGCTTTTAGTGACATACGTTTCATTTTTTTACGGTGAAACTCGCAATCTTTTCTTTCCTGGCGATCGATCAATCAATAATACCAAAAGGCTACAGAAACATACAGAAAGGGGCCCATGAGACAGCTCAACGCTTGGGTGGCCAGTTGGGGCTGGCAGGACCAATTATCCATGCAGCCGGGCCATTTGATCAGAAAGGAAGGCCCAAGTGGTAGCAGTTTGCTCTGACGGGCTATGGCTCATTGAATACACGGATCGTTCAAAACATGTTAAAATCAGCTGGACAATTTCTGGGCAAATCGGTAAAGATCCATGTGCAGTGCAGGTTTTTTTCAGTGTTCACCAAGTTCCGGATTTTTTCCCCATACCCAAATGGGTACGAGTCGTAATTCAAGCCCTTGTTAGTGACGACTATCAGGTCACTTTTCTAAGCATCAAAGCATGCTGCGATTGAATTTTCATCCTATGGGGAGGGTCGAAGCTCACAAGTGCAACCAGTAGGGTCCCAAAGAACTGGCAATTGAGCACAGGCTGTATTCTCTTGCCATCTTTTCAAGGGAAATTCTGCACGGATGTGCAAATAGCCCCCATCAAATTGATAGTGACAGCAACAGATAACAAAGCCTGGCTGATATTTTTTGTTTTGGGCCCAGCAGTCGCATTAATGGCGCAATCCGGAAAACGATGGACATCAAAGAGACATGGGCCAGGTGATTTTTCCACAGTAGCTTCTATATGGCCCAGACCCGGTCGTTAGAGGGATGAATTGTTGTTCAACAGGGGGCGGACGGTTGTTGTTCAATTGTGTAGCAGAAAAGGCTACCGTAGACTTGTTTAGGAGCAGAAAAGGTTTCCATAGAGTAATTTAGTGGCAGAAAAGGCTCCAGAAATTTTATGTAGTAGCAGCAGAATCTCTCGGACTTTCTGCTACTAAACAAGTCCGTGAGAGCTTTTTTTTCTACACAATTGAAAAACAATTCCGGAGCTCTCACCCACTATTAGCACACGTTTCTTAGTTGGGATCCTTTTCCCCGTAATTTGCCCATTTGATCATTTGATCCCTATTTGTGGTGGTGAAATCCAGTTTGCTGGAGGGTATGTAAAGATGTTAAGACTGATTATTGTGATGGTTAAATTACATTTTGAATGGGCGAATTCCTATCTTGGACGGGTGATTCCCGAATTCTGATGGTTGAAATACATCAAAATGATGGGTATCTCTGTATCTCCTATTTTTCATGCATAAATCCCTGAGCTCTGCAGGTGACATCCCCCAAGTCTGCTGAAATCACAGGCCAGCGCGACAGCAGCCGTGCGTCCTTCGTGCGGCACTTCACCTTAGACCATCACATGGCCGCGCAGAAGATGGCCATCAGAATCGACAATGCTAGACGTCGAACGCGCCAGGAGAATGGTGGAGACTGGCGGAGACTGGTGGAGTCTGCGGTGAAACCTGAGTTGACCAGGAAAAAATAAGAAAAAACAAAGGAAACCATGCATTTTGTGAGACAAATAATCATGGTATCATAGGGCAGAATAGGCTAAGACGATACTGTAACAATTGGGAAAAACTTCGTGTGTGTGTGTGTGTGAACCATCTGAATAGATGTAAAACTTCTACTCGTTTAGTTGCAGGGGGCCACGGCTCCATTCATCAGTCCGTGGATCAACTGCACGTACCTGCACTGTTCCAATTCCATTTTTTCGTCAATGGCAACCGGCTAAGCCCAGAACCGGCATGTCGCAATTTGCATTTCTCAGTTGTCACTAGAGGGATCCTTCATCTAGAATTGAGATCCAAAAGAGAGCTACAAAATTCTTTAATGAAAAACTATGTTTTTTTGATGAAATTTATGATTTGTTTTTTTGGCCTGGAAACAACTTATGATTTCTTTTTTTATTTTTATTTTTTAAATTGTTTTTTTTTAAAATGATTTTTTTAATGAAAACTATGACTTTTTAATGATTTTTAATGGTTTTTTGAAAATGATTTTTTGTATGAAAATTTATGTTTTTTTAATGAAAAAATAAGGGTTTTTTTAATGAAAGCATATGTTTTTTTTACTGAAAAATATTTTTTTAATGAAAAAATACGATTTTTTAATGAACAAAATATGATTTTTTATGAAAAACTGATTGTTCTTATGATTTTTTCAAAGGTTTTCTGTGTTTTATGATTTTAAGAAATTTTTTTATAATTGTTTTTTGATTTTTTAAATGTTTTTTGTTTTTTTCATGATTGTGATGGTTAACAAAATCTATAACACAGAAGTGTTAACACATGGAGAACATTGAACAAACAGCGACTTTGCATTTATTCATTTTGGCGTTGATTTTAGGATTGGTGTTTTTTTGATCAGTGGTTGGGTGATGTTTTTTTAATGATTTTTATGATTTTTAAAAATGATTTTTAAAAGATTTTTTGTGATATTATGTTCTTCACTATTGGGATGCTATGCCAGGATTTGGCCAGTAATGGTTCTAGGCCCAAAGGCCTGTGGTAAGAAATTTTGTTTGATGTAGAATCTATAGAAACCAAACGCCATCATGTTCCTAAAAAACAGTTCAGAGTTTTGTTCAGGGGTCCAGCTTTGTGCTGGGCAAGGTGCATCATCAGTTCAAAATGTGTGACCTATCCTAAGGCTAGCTTCTTTTCTTGGTTTTCACTTCTTTGCTGCCAGGTCCGAGATTCTAGAGCCTCCAGCCTGGAGCCTAAGGCCTCAGGTCCGAGATTCTAGAGCCTCAAGCCTGGAGCCTAAGGCCTCAGATCCAAGATTCTAGAGCCTCAAGCCTGGAGCCTAAAGCCTCAAGCAGCCTAAGGCCTAAGGCCTCAGGTCCGAGATTCTAGAGCCTCAAGCCTGGAGCCTAAGGCCTCAGGTCGGAGATTCTAGAGCCTCAAGCCTGGAGCCTGGGACGTTGCTTTCCTGAACCAATCCATAAAAAATTCATTAAAAAACATAAAAAATATAAAAAATCATAAAAAATCATAAAGAATCATAAAGAATCATAAAAAATCTTAAAAATCACACAAATCACAAACTTGATCATAAAAAAATAAGTGTGTATCTAGTTTTATGATTTTTTTAAATGATTTTTTAATGTTTTTTTTTACTGTTTTTTTTTAAATGTTTTTTTTAAATGTTTTTTTTTAAATGGATTGGTTCAGGAAAGCAACGTCCCAGGCTCCAGGCTTGAGGCTCTAGAATCTCCGACCTGAGGCCTTAGGCTCCAGGCTTGAGGCTCTAGAATCTCGGACCTGAGGCCTTAGGCCTTAGGCTGCTTGAGGCTCTAGAATCTCGGACCTGAGGCCTTAGGCTCCAGGCTTGAGGCTCTAGAATCTCGGACCTGAGGCCTTAGGCTCCAGGCTGGAGGCTCTAGAATCTCGGACCTGGCAGCAAAGAAGTGAAAACCGAGAAAAGAAACTAGCCTTAGGATAGGTCACACATTTTGAACTGATGATGCACCTTGCCCAGCACAAAGCTGGACCCCTGAACAAAACTCTGAAGAGTCATATGGTCTATGGACCCCTGAACAAAACTTAAAAAAACATTAACAAAAACAAAAAACAACATAAACAAATCATTCAAAACAGATTACAAAACACAAAAATCATTAACAACATACAAAATCTCTAAAAAAACATAAAAATATAAGAATCATAAATAAAAAACGTAAAAATCATAAAAATCATTAAAAAATCATAAAATAATAAAAAACATATATATAAAAACTCATAAAAAATAATAAAAAATCATTAAACAACCACAAAAAACATAAAACACATCATAAAAAATCATAAAGACATCAAAAAATCAGAAGCAAATTATGAAATTCTTATAACATATAAAAACGCATAAACAAATCATACAAAAATCATTAAAAAATAACTAAAAAACTTGAAAAATATAAAAACTCATAAAAAATCATAAAAAATGAGAAAACAAAACAAAATCATAAAAAATCGTAAACAAAATCATAAAACAATCATTAAAAAATATAAAAAAACAGAAAAAATATTTAACACAAATCATAAAAAAATCATATCCATTTTTCACCATTTTTCAAATCATATCCTAAAAATCATAAATATTCATAAAAAAAATCAGAAAAGAAAATAATCAATAAACTAATTTTGTAGCTGGTCTTTTGGATCTCAAATCTAGAACTGGACATGGCATACCTTTTCGAAATTTCTCGGGTCTTTCCACCGACCCATTCCTGTCAGGTGTAATTGGAGTGTTTTTGCACGTCAGATACATTCCACATCAGAAATGTAAATTCAGAGATCAAGTCGTTGCTTCGCTCTCCTGCTTAGACAAGCATTCCCCGAGGGGTTCATGCCACCGTGACAAATCCAGCATGAACCACACACTTGCTCAGAACAATCTTTGCGAAGTGAAACAGCCGGCCTTACTTTAATTTTCACCCATCGGTCGAGTGAGTGTTGAAACAGCTGGCCGCCGTGTGGTCATTTTTTCAGTGATCTTGCAAGATTGTGGTCTGCATAGCTTGAAGCCGCGACAACAATTTCCTTTTCAAGAGAGTACAGTGCTCAACAACTTGCATCATGTCACATGATCAGGTGAGGCTTTAGGTCATGTCTTTAGGTGTGGTCCTTCTTTCTTTTGATGGTCGTTGGTACGGTTCAAATGTGCACGTAATTCAGGGGTTGACCACTTAAGCCGTTTATAGGGTTGTGGCTTGACCACGGCGGGCCTCTGAGCCTTATCTCGATCCTTGCATGCAGTGTGGATGTATCATGTTTTAATTGTTGACTTGTGATTTTCAGTTTTCGCTTGACTCTCCTAATTGTGCCATATTCCCTGGTCGTTGGCCAAACTATCCTGAGTTCATGTGGAACTTCGGCTGGTCCGCACCAGCCCCTACACCGCCTCAACTAGCAGTACCTCCAGGACAGTTTTGTGGAAGTGATCCATCATACCAACAGTCCAAAGCTCAGGTTCAGGCACAAATTACGGCACTTCAACAGCAGAATGCGTTGTTGAACCAACAACTCCACAATCAATCTCAGACTCACATCAATCACCTCCAACAACTTCTTCCTCATCACCAAGCTCAACAACAACCGACGACTACTCCACCTTCAGCGCCAACACCACCAGCAACACCGGTGCCAACTGCACCTGAACCACTCAGCCACTCAGCCACTCCGCCACTCAGTCACTCAGTCACTCAGTCACTCAGCCACTCAGCCATCACTCAGCTACTCAGCCACTCAGCCATTCACCTACTCACCCACTCAGCCAATGAGTCACTCAGTCACTCAGCCACTCAGCCACTCAGCCACTCAGTCACTCAGTCACTCAGCCATCAGCCACTCAGCCACTCAGCCACTCAGCCACTCAGCCACTTTCAGTCACTCAGTCACTCAGCCACTCAGCCACTCAGCCACTCAGCCACTCAGCCACTCAGCCACTCAGTCACCAGTCACTCAGCTACAGCCACTCAGCCACTCAGCCACTCAGCCATTCAGCCACTCAGCCACTCAGGCACTCTGCCACTCTGCCACTCAGCCACTCAGTCACTCAGTCACTCAGTCACTCAGTCACTCAGCCACTCAGCCACTCAGCCACTCAGTCACTCAGTCACTCAGCTATTCAGCCATTCAGCCACTCAGCCACTCCGTCACTCAGCCATTCAGTCACTCAGCCACTCAGTCACTCAGTAACTCAGCCACTCAGTCATTCAGCCACTCAGCTCCCATCGGGGTTGTCCCAGAATCATCTTGCCATTACGGCAACCAATTTGGCCCAACATGCTCGACCTGGTGAACTTGACGAAATCTCCGACTTCTCGGACTAGGTCCTCGTCATCCCTGACCTCGACTTCTGATTTCAGGTAGATTGTTGCTAGCATTTTGATTCTGTAATTAATTCTTGTCTCTGGCATTTTGATCGTCTGATCCGAGACCAGTTGACCGTATCAGAGCTTTGTTTCAATCGACAATTCGCGTCTTCCAAAAAAGCCCTGCGGCATCAGGGCGTGAATGTGAACCATCTGAATAGATGTAAAACTTCTACTCGTTTAGTTGCAGGGGGCCACGGCTCCATGCATCAGTCCGTGGCCAACGAAGCTACTGATGTTTGGAGAGGATATGCAGTGTGATCAACTGCACGTACCTGCACTGTTCCAATTCCATTTTTTCGTCAATGGCAACCGGCTAAGCCCAGAACCGGCATGTCACAATTTGCATTTCTCAGTTGTCACCAGAGGGATCCTTCATCTAGCACTGGACATGGCATACCTTTTCGAAATTTCTCGGGTCTTTCCACCGACCCATTCCTGTCAGGTGTAATTGGAGTGTTTTTGCACGTCAGATACATTCCACATCAGAATTCGCAAAGATTGTTCTGAGCAAGTGTGTGTGTGTGTGTTTGAAAAGTGGGGTCCAAAATATGATAAAATATGAACAATTTAATAAAGAAAATGCATGACATGATGGCAAGAAAAACTTGGGTTTGACCCTACAACTATGATGATTTACGCAAAAGGGGGTTTAACAATGTTTAACTCACAAAACATATCAAAGCATTGGATTTGATAAGATGGAACCATCAAAAGGATTTGGCCAACCAACGGCACGAGGAGGCCATACAACTGGAGGAGAAGGACCAGAGCTGGAGGGCGCTAAGTAAGAGAGCCTTGGAGAAGGTGCTGGGGATGAAACTGCTAGGAACCTTCTCATGAAGATGCTTCATTACGATAAGTAAGCAAATATTTTTTGAAAATAATTTGTTTTTTTGGAGATTTTTTCCCTGCCGGGGACAGTGTCGGCATCATGAAGATGGTTTATGTTGAGCCCAACTGAGACATTTCATGATTTTTGATGTATGAAGAACGGCCAGTGTCTGGATGAAACATCTCAAGATCAGGCTGTAGGGATGGGCCATGCCATGACCTGCCACGACTTGCCAAGACGAGAGGGCGTCACTGGCAGTATCTGCCAAGGATTTGTGCTGTCATCTTTTGTCAGCAACTTCATGATGGCCATGATCGTCTTCAATGCGGTGCTTTTGGGGGTTGAGATTGACATTTCAGCCAGGATGGGGCAAAACGACATTCCCTCCTGGTTTGGTATTGCCACTGGGACGGGCTGGGAAGGAGGGTGTCAAGTACGAAGATGATGGGAAAATGATGGAACATCATCAGGCACCAGACCAAGCCAATTCTGTGCCAAATGACATTTAATGACGTTGGAATTACCAAAAAGGGGTGCACGAAGAATGCAATTTTTTTTATTTGGTGCCTCCGAGCATCGTGGAAGTGACTAGTGATGGATCTGGTTTAGAAGGCTCAACTGTGGATGGGTTAAAAGATGCTGAAACCTATGATACCAGTAGTACCGCACAAGGCGGTGGCGGAAGTTTCAAAAATAGGAAACCTATAGGAGAGGTTGGTTGTTGCGAATGAGGGATGGCAGAGCGAAGCCACTGATGGACCGAAAGGAAAGTCGCGAAACACTGTGTTTTTCAAATGATTTGGGGCTCCGGAGGGTCGAAAAGTAGGCTCGCTAAAGCGGCGGGTGCGGAGCCAGCTGGCCAGATGAGAGATGAAAAGTTGCACGCCGTTGTGGCGCGAAGCACATTTCCAAGTCAAAATGCACAAAACACACCAGCTCCGGACCACTTTTGGCAGTTGAGATGTCGAAAAAGTGCACGCCGTTGTGGCGCGAAGCACATTTCCAAGTCAAAATGTACAAAGCACACCAGCGTCGGACCACTTTTGGCAGTTGAGATGTCGAAAAAGTGCACGCCGTTGTGGCGCGAAGCACATTTCCAAGTCAAAATGTACAAAACACACCAGCGTCGGACCACTTTTGGAAGTTGAGATGTCGAAGAAGTGCACGCCGTTGTGGCGCGAAGCACATTTCCAAGTCAAAATGTACAAAGCACACCATCTACGGACCATTTTTGGAGGTTCAGATGTCGTTTCGCGTGGCAGGCGCAAGGGATTGTGGACCTTGTCAAAAGTGAGCAAAACGTGAGGGTTTTGTAGTATTTTCAACCACCACTACATTACACTACACTCCAATACAACTACAACTACACCTTCACTACATTCCACTACACTACACGACATTCCACTACCTTCCGCTACACTACACTACACTACACAACACTACACTGCACTACACTACACTACACTACACTACATTCCACTACACTACACTACACTGCACTGCACTGCACTGCACTACACTACACTACCTTCCACTACCTTCCGCTACCTTCCACTACACTCCACTCCACTCCACTCCACTCCACTACACTACACTCCACTCCACTCCACTCCACTCCACTCCACTACACTACACTACACTACACTACACTACACTGAATGACACTGCACCACAGATAGACAGGTAGACAGATAGACAGATAGATAGATAGACAGATAGACAGGTAGACAGATAGACAGATAGATAGATGGATAGACAGATAGACAGATAGACAGGTAGACAGATAGACAGACAGACAGACAGACAGATAGATAGATAGATAGATAGCTAGATAGATAGCTAGATAGATAGCTAGATAGATAGATAGATAAATAGATAAATAGATAGACAGATAGGTAGTCAGAGAAAGAGAGAGAAAGAGTGAGAGAGATCAATCACCTTTCGATCCATCAGTGGCTTCGTTCTGCCATTCCTGATTCACCACAACCAACCTCTCCTATAGGTTTCCTATTTTTGAAACTTCCGCCACCGCCTTGTGCGGTACTACTGGTATGTTGGGGTGATGAAACTACCAATATGATTCGTTTCTTTTTTTGGGGGTGTAGCCCACTAAGGTGAACACCGCTTTGGTGCTCATTTTTGTGGCTGAAATTTTGATGAAACTGTTCGCCCTGGGCTTCAATGAGTTCTGGAAGGGGGAAGACTCTTGGGTGGCACGGGGATGAAACGTGGCGAGAAGCTCCCCGAGAGAAATGGCGATTTATAGATGGGAAAATCATCCATAAATAGTGGATTTTCCATTCCCATATTTTGATGTTTGATGATTGAACGCAGGGACCCCCATGCACATGAGGCATGGGGACAATGGGAGGAGTTGTGCATGGCATTTGATGTCAGGCGGGGTATTCATCGCCATGAAGCAGTAGCTCATTATGGAGCTCTCCTCTTTTTTGAAGGTATCTATGATCTGAAACCCGGATCAGGGCAGCTGTTTTGCCTGTCAGAAGCCTTTTGGAATATTTTGCGATCGTGCAAATTCAACTGTTTGCGACGACACATCTTAAAACTGTTGGTAAATGGGCTCGCCCTCGCAGCGTAAGCTGTGCCAGTGAAGCGATTTCGCTCCTTTTGCGGTTTTCACGGGCCAAATTTGGCCGAGGACTGGATATGGAACGCCTTTGAGTTCGGAATCGTTTCGATTTCAGTGACGGAGACTGGTTCCTCCAAAGCATTTTTTTTTTTTGGGGGGTGATTCCCGCCGCATTTTTCATTCTCACATCCCATCATGAATGGTTAAAACATATTAAAACGCATATTTTCATGATTCATTCACATATTGAGGCCATCCAAAATGAAACAGCCTTATTTGCTGCGGTGGAGGGGTTTTTGAAGTTACCCGAGGAAACGATCATTGACTACTGGGCTCAGACGATGACAACCAATGGCAGTGACTCGGTGCGAGAGATGGGGGCCATGTGAGCCATGTGTATATCTATGGATACCATTAGATACCTATAAAATTCTATAAGCACATACTGTAAACAAACATATTCATGTACCACACAAACATAGAAAATCATAGAAACACACACACAATCATGAATACATACAATAAATACAAAGATCCAGACATGCAGGAGAGCCACCTCCAACCACGCACGGGATGAAGACATGAATTCTTGCCTAGCCTCTGCTGATCTACCCTCGTAGCCTCCCAGTCTCCCAGCCTCCTACCCTGCTAGTTCCCTAGCTATCAAAAACAAACCAAGCATATCACCAAAATGGAAAATAATTACCTGCATCCCGTGCATGACATGCATGACGTGCAATGCATGGTTTGCATACGTCGCGTACAGTACATTTACATTTGCATATCACATCACACTACACTGCATTACATTACACAAGGCGGCCCAAGGCAAGGCAAGGTAACGCAACAGACGGAAACTCAGCCTAACCATGCGTAACCGTAGCCCAACATTACCGGGGGGTTGGCGAGTTGGGATCGTGGAGGCCCCCTTGGATATACTTGGATCACTGGGATTGGTATAGATTTTGCAGATTTGTTGGGAGATTTGGGATTCAACTTGGGCGCTTCAAGTTGGGCAGATGCCAAGGTTCGAGCTCCTTTCGCGTGATGCGCTCCCTGCGGCTGGTGCGGACCTTGCGTGGCTTGCGCATCATTCGGCTCTTCCGATACTTCAGCGCATCGTGGCGCTGAATGTTGGAACAAAAATTGGGCAACTGTCAAACCTAAAGGCCTGGCACCCACAAGATTTTGTTTTAGAACGTTTTAGGGGTGCTTGTTTGACTGTAACTGCTGCTTCCATTTTGTTGGCCTTTGGGAAGAGCAAGAATCCAAGGATCGAGTGAAGTGCACCAAAACAGGATAGCCAAAGACCCGAGGATCAAGTCACAAAGAGAGACATATTACAGTACATAGGTTTTGCATGGTTTTGCAAACACGAACGGCCTTTATCGATCTTCTCAATGTGCTTGAAATTTTGCGGGATCTTGTGTCAGTGACAAGCAGGTGAGAGCCTAAATTCTGTTCGTGCTTGATTGGAGAAGAGACCTTAGAATTTTAGGTGAGAAATTCCTGCTTCGCCGCCGTTGACATGGACCAAATCATACTGAGGTGTGCATTTTTTCCGTACTTCCCGGTTTCCCGTTTGTATACTCGGGTCGGGGTCTCCATCATGAACCATGCTGCCATGCTGGTACAAGTCTAAGGCATTGAGAGGCTTGATCCTATCCATCTTTAGCACACTGAGCTCCTTGCTGTGCCTAGACCTGGCAGTTCTTATGGGGACCAGACGATTTCTCCCGCTATAAAGAGACCTTCAGCAGGTAGATTTTAGGGTCACTTCTGGCAGTTCCTCAGGTGCCCCCTGGGGCTCGAAGAAGGCCAACAAAAGTTCGATGTTGTGTTGCTGTCCCCCCATGAGCTCAATTGCGTTGAGAATTTTTCTCGGCCCTTGAAGAGTGCTTCTGCCAGCTCGCAAAGGTGGACGTTGTTGTTGCTTCTGATCCTTTTCTATACCTTCAGTTGCATATTCACACAATTGGTGTTGCTTGGCTCCACGAGTTTTTTTTCCCCCTTGTCCCGGACATGTCCCGGACATGTCCCCATAAAAAATGGTAGAAGGGGGAAGCTAGGACAAGACAGGTTGTAGGTCAGGTGGGAGGCTGTTATGTTTTTGTTCAATCTTGTAATCTGAAATGTTTGACTGTTTCTTTTTGGTTATATTTGGAGTCGTGGCACCAGGTACAGACTATGTGCCTTGACAGGAATTAAAAATACAACATAAATAAGAAAAAAACACAACCTCAAAATACAATTGTAAATAAAAAACAACTAGAAAAATGCAACTTTCATTTTCCTTTTTTTTTTAAAACGCAGGGTCAATTCCAACTGCGTCGGTAAGCTGGCCCTGCGAGCACAACTGATTTATATGGACTTCCATTTTTTTAATGGGTGCCTTTCTTTTCTTTTTCTCACAACGAACTAAACAAATAGATGTCAGTCATGCATCTGTGGTGTTTTGTGTTGGCATGTAAAAAACCTGGGTATTGGACACGTCGTGCTGTCCTGATAATTGCTTCAGAAGCAGAGGGGTATGCAGATCCACACACAAAGACACACAGACACAAAAAAAAACAAGTGCTGCTAGTCGTGGTTTTGTGGTTTCATCCTGTTGGCTGCCTTTCCCAAATGCGAGACACAACAAACTGCCCAGTTGCATTTTTTTTGCACTTTGCCCGTTCCATCGCTTTTTTTTTGCACTTTGCCCGTCCCATCGCTTTTTTTTTACACTTTGCCGGTCACATCGCTTTTTTTTTGCACTGTGTCTGTCACATTGCAATTTTTTTGCACTTTGCCCATTCCATCGTTTTTTTTTACACTTTGCCGGTCACATTGCTTTTTTTTTTTGCACTTTGTCTGTCACATCGCATTTTTTTTGCAATTTGGTGGTTGCTTCGTTTTTTTTTTGCAATCCCCTGTCCCAATTGCATTTTTTTTGCAACGGGAAGATTGGGCACGAGTCTTCCAGCGAGAATCGTCAGTCACAAACTCCCCCACCTGAGTTTGGCAAAGCGCAAAGCTGGGAAAGCGAATGGCTTCCAACGATGGGTTCACACGCCGGATTCCTAAAAATGCAACCCGGGACGTCGCCGAGCACGCTGGCGCAAAAAAAAAAGCAATGGAAACCAATGTGTTTTTCCCGTTGCATTTTTTTGCAACTTGAAGCTCAAAGTGTAAAAAAATAGGGAAAAAAAACGAAAAAAATGCAAAATAAATGCAAAAGTGCAAACTGAAATGCAACCGGAATTGCAACAATCTAATGATGCAGATACGTCTTGCAAAAAAAATGCAACGCTGGGATCGCAAGCGCGAACGCAGCAGTGTACTTCATATAAATAAATATATATTGTCTATCTATCTATTAATGCGCAAACAACGTGCCACAGCATCAGCGCGCCTGGGGTTTCGCACCTGCACGGCCACAACTACAACTACCACAGCGACTATAGGTTCTAAACGCCACCTTGCAAAAAACATCGGCGTGCCACCACCAAACCAGCTGCAAAGGACTCAGCTGTACATCGTTCCATATCCTAGACGCAACATGGGAAATTTGCCCAAAGTAAGATCTTGAAGAAAGCAGCAGCCAGGGCCCCATACAAGTAGATTGTAATTAGTGTGAGAATGCTTTCAGTCAGAATGGAAATGTCCGCAGAAAACTGTTCGGAAGGAGGGAAGCACATGCGTGGATGGCTGAGATGTGTTGCCAGTTGTGTGGCTAGCTTTGTAATTTCCATATTGGTTTTAGCGCTTTGAAAAGTCAATGGCTATTCTTGCGTGCTGGGGAAGCTTAATGGTGAGGAAAAACTTTATATCCATTGCCTGGTTCCTTTTTTTCTGGTAGACTCTAAGTTAGGGACGTTAAAACACACAAAATAATTGCATTTAGCGGTTGTATTTTTTTCGTATATTTGTTGCATTTTTAATGTTTTACAGAAAGATAGATTCTACCTGACCGCCTCGACTTCAAGGTTATATTGCTATATATATATATAAATGTTTTAGGTTGTTGTAATAATGTTTGGTTTCAATGAGGGTAGGTTTTGTTGAGGGTGTTTTGCCTGTTATGTTTTTTTTATGTTCTTGTTCAATGTTTCGTCCTTCCCTTTGATGTTTTATGTGTTGTATGTTCTGTTTTTTTTGTCGCTAACTTTTCTGGGGCTTTCTGTTTGAATGTGGTTAGGATTTGTTGAGGTTGTTGTGATTTAACCATCTGGATATGAGGGAAATGTTGCGTTAAGGTAGTCTATGATTTCTTGGTGTTTTATTCGTTTCATTTCTTCATCAGTTTTCTTTTGTTGTTCTATTTGTTTTGGGTTAGGTTTGTTCATTTGGGGCTCCGGAGGGTAGAAAAGTAGCTGGCCAGATTAGAGATGAAAAATTGCACGCCGTTGTGGCGCGAAGCACATTTGCAAGTGAAAATGTAGAAAACACCTCAGCTTCGGACCACTTTTGGAAGTTGCGATGTCGAAAAAGTGCACGCCGTTGTGGCGCGAAGCATATTTCCAAATCAAAATGTACAAACACACACCAGGTTCGGACCACTTTTGGAAGTTGAGATGTCGAAAAAGTGCACGCCGTTGTGGCGCGAAGCACATTTCCAAGTGAAAATGTACAAAACACAACAGGTCCGGACCACTTTTGGAAGTTGAGATGTCGAAAAAGTGCACGCCGTTGTGGCGCGAAGCACATTTCCAAGTCAAAATGTACAAAGCACCACATGTTCGCGCCACTTTTGGAGGTTCGGATGTTGAAAAAGTGCACGCCGTTGTGGCGCGAAGCACGTTTCGAAGTCAAAAAATACAAAGCACCACATGTTCGCGCCACTTTTGGAGGTTCGGATGTTGAAAAAGTGCACGCCGTTGTAGCGCGAAGCACATTTCGAAGTCAAAATGTTAAAAACACCACATGTTTGCGCCACTTTTGGAGGTTCGGATGTTGAAAAAGTGCACGCCGTTGTGGCGCGAAGCACATTTCGAAGTCAAAATGCACAAAATACACCAGCGTCGGACCACTTTTGTAAGGCAGAAACACTCAACCACCTTTAAATCCATCAGTGGGTTCGCTCTGCCATTTTTGCGCCACAGCAACTCACCTCTCCTATAGGTTTTTCATTTTTGAAACTTCCGCCACCGCCTTGTGCGGTACTACTGGTATCTTAACAAAACATATTATGAAGTAATCGCCCATCCAAACACAAACATAAACCCCAACAGCCTAAACAATTATCCCCCTCATCTTAAACCAAACCATCAAGTGAAAGTTAGGGGCAAAATAGTCCCAAAACCCCCACCACATAAAACATCAAAGGCAAGGAAGAAACATTGAACAACAACATAAAAACCATAACAGGTAAAACAATTCAACACACAGACACAAACCTAAACAAAAACATGACAACCGAGCAATGAACAAACAAAAAGCAAAAATAATGAAACAGGAAACGATGAACACTTAAGAAGAAAATAGCCGCAGAAACCCCACCTGAAAAAACATCAAAGGAAAGGAAGAAACATTGAACAAGAACATGAAAACCAGAACAGCCTCAACAAAACCCACCCTCATTGAAACCAAACATTATTACATCAACCCCAACAAACATTTAGCAAGATAATCACAAAGAAACAGTCAAACATTTCAGATTCCAAGATTGAACAAAAACATAACAGCCTCCCACCTAACACCTGTCTTGTCCTAGCTTCCCCCTTCTACCATATTTTTTTCCGGACATGTCCCCCCTCGCAGAGAGACCTTAGTCCCAAGACGCACTGCGTGGCACTGCGTGGTCATGGCTGCGTCACTGCTCAGGACGGATCATTGTCGCTTTCAGACGATTGACGCTGATCCAGACAACGACATCAATGCGGTGCCGGAGTGTCCAAAAGACCTAGCCATGTACTGGGGTAATGTGATGGACACTGGGCCATCTTGAGCATTAATGTTTGCTAGGGGGGAATCATGGGACGGGAGGCGAGCTACTAGTCAATTACTGAATTCGTCACGCAAACTGGCCTCGGCTAGCTGCAGTCCATTGCAGTCTCTCTTGCTTTAGTAAGCTTGGTTGGTAGGCTCGATTTCTAGCGCGGGAGCTTTTTGCACAGATTTGTTAGAAGGCACGTCATGTCAGTTGGTTGGTTGGGGACAAGCAGTGTTGGGACTGTCACTGGCAATATGTAGACATTGATGCACCCTTGACATCTACCAGCCCTGCCAGCTTTCGTTCCTTCCTCGGCAACGCGAAGTCCAAGGATAGCATGGTGACCCTTTTCAAGTCCATCACTGGAGGCATCAATTGGGCAGAAGCTTATGTGCCGCTGAAGCAGGTTTCCCTCCTAGCCTTGTCGCTTATGAACCTCTACATTGTGATTGGGTTTTTTACGACTCTTGGCATCATCTCCGTAGATGGTGAGAGGCTTTCTCTCTATATACTCGCTAAGGATTTTCCTGAAGTTGGGTTAAAAATCGTGAAATTAACTACACTTTGTGATGGAGGCCGGACAGCGATTCCTTCAGAATAAACTAAGCACTCAGCACTGACATTTTGCCGCCAAGGATCTTAAACGTTGTGACAGGGGTGCATCTTGGCTGCTTGAAATGGCTGATGGTTTGACAGTGTCTTCAGCGGTTTTAATTCTGCAATAATTATCTGGGAAAATGAATCCAACACACAAATTCCATCCAAGTGCATCAAATTTGACGGTCTATTCACCAATAGATTTCAGGTGGTGATGAAGTGAACATGTGAAGTCACCACTATCGCTTCCCATTTTTCAGTGATTCATGATAGTTCCCAATTATATATATATATATACCAGTGGTACCGCACAAGGCGGTGGCGGAAGTTGTGAATCAGGGATGTTGTGAATCAGGAGAGGTTGGTAGAGCGTAGGAGAATCAGGAAACCTATTTTGTAGGAGAGGTTGGTTGTTGTGAATCAGGGATGGCAGAGCGAAGCCACTCATGGACCGAAAGGTGATTGAGTGTTTCTGCCTATCTATCTATCTATCTATCGATCTATCTATCTCTCTATCTGTCTGTCTATCTATCTATCTATTTATCTATCTATCTATCTGTCTGTCTGTCTGTCTATCTATCTCTCTCTCTCTCTCTAGCTAGCTAGCTAGCTAGCTATCTATCTATCTATCTATCTCTCTGTCTGTCTATCTATCTATCTATCTCTCTCTCTCTATCTATCTATCTATCGATCGATCGATCGATCGATCTATCTATCTATCTATCGATCGATCGATCGATCTATCTATCTATCTGCCTGTTGTGGTATTTTATGTGCTTCGCGCCACAACGGCGTGCACTTTTTCATCTCTCATCTGGCCAGCTGGCCCTCCGGAGCCCCAAATCATTGGAAAAACACAGTGTTTTGCGACTTTCCTACCTTTTCGCGCATCTGCATCTTCTTTCTTCTGACTCTTTCTCTTCTCTGATCTTCTCTCTTCTAATCATTCTCTTCTCTCTGCCTCTGCCCTGCTCTGCTTTTCATCTGTCCATGCATTTCTGCCAGTACATTACCATGTGCCAGTAATTTATCTATCTATCTCTCCATGTATCGATGTATGTATCTATCGATGTATCTATCTATCTATCCATCTATCTATCTATCTGTCTATCTATCTGTCTGTCTTTCTGTCTGTCTATCTGTCTAGCCATCTATCCATCTATCTCATCTACCCAGCTGGCCTCTCTCTCTCTCTCTCTCTCTTTCTCTTTCATCTAATTACCTATCTATCTATCTATCTACCTACCTGTCTATCTATCTCTCCCTTTCATCTGTCTATCTGTCTAGCTGTCTACCTGTCTATCTGTGTTGCAGTGTCATTCAATGTAATGTAGTGTGGTGTAGTGTAATTTAATGTAGTGGAGTGTACTGGAGTGTAATGTAGTGTAATGTAGTGTACTGGAGCGTAGTGTAGTGTAATGTCCTGTAGTGTAGTGTACTGAAGCGAAGCGACATCCGAACCTCCAAAAGTGGTCCGACCCCCTGGTGTTTTTAACATTTTGACTTCGAAATGTCCTTCACGCCACAACGGCGTGCACTTTTTCGACATCCGAACCTCCAAAAGTGGCGCGAACATGTGGTGTTTTGTACATTTTGACTTGGAAATGTGCTTCGCGCCACAACGGCGTGCACTTTTTCGACATCTGAACTTCCAAAAGTGGTCCGAACCTGGTGTGTGTTTGTACATTTTGACTTGGAAATGTGCTTCGCGCCACAACGGCGTGCACTTTTTCGACATCTCAACTTCCAAAAGTGGTCCGGACCTGTTGTGTTTTGTACATTTTGACTTGGACATGTGCTTCGCGCCACAACGGCGTGCACTTTTTCGACATCGCAACTTCCAAAAGTGGTCCGGAGCTGAGGTGTTTTCTGCATTTTGACTTGCAAATGTGCTTCGCGCCACAACGGCATGCACTTTTTTGACATCTCAACTTCCAAAAGTGGTCCGACACTGGTGTGTTTTGTACATTTTGACTTGGAAATCTGCTTCGCGCCACAACGGCGTGCAATTTTTCATCACTTATCTGGCCAGCTGGCTCCGCACCCGCCGCTTTAGCGAGCCTACTTTTCGACCCTCCGGAGCCACAAATCATTGGAAAAACACAGTGTTTCGCGACTTTCCTACCTTTTCGCGCATCTCCATTTTCTTTCCTTCTGATCTTTCTCTTCTCTCTGCCTCTTCCCTGCTCTGCTTTTCATCTGTGCATATTGTCGGAAGTTTGACTTCTAAACTTCCTTCGATAATATAATATAATATAATATAAAATAAATAAATATAAATATAAATATATATATATATACGTGCAGTATATAGATTGTGGGTAGTAGATGGTAGTAGTATTATATAACCCTTGTTAACCATAACAACCATCATTTATTGTTATCAACCATCATTTGTTGATATTGACCACTGTTAGCCGTTGTTAGGTTTGTCAACACGGCCATCGAAAGCGCCAGCGCAGACAAAGACGCTTGGTTTTTGCCAAGATGGCTGGGAGTAGTTGGCAACACAAAAAAGGGATTATGAATGGGGGTTTGCAAGCAAAAAAACGAGAACTCAACCCCCCAAACATTGGCGACTTAACCAAGACAATCTTCAAGATTCTTGAAGGTTTCAACCGGAGGGATCCCTCGCCTGCTGATTGAGACTTTAGCGCAGTGGGATTCTCCAATCTGTAAGAACAAGTTTGCTGTCAAGTGCAGACAGTCGTTAAGTTCAATGGGATGTCAATGTACCGATGGGATCCGATGGGACCCTGTTCACCGAGGATATCGCCACATTGAAGCAAATGGAAAAGCGCAGCGAAAACATGGCGTCATTGATAGAGGTTTTCCAGGACATTGACGAGACCCACGTCAACCAGGCCGAAGGGGAATAACTGGCCCAATTGCTGGCCTGGCCAAGCGCTGTAGCTGTACCGAACTGCGGATGCATATGCAACATGTACCACAGTAAAACAACGTAAAACAAATGCTCGTGATATCTCGTGATTTGGATGGATACATTGGTGTAGGATACAATGTACTACGAGTATGTGAATCCATAGTCAGTTGTGACTTGCCTGGGCTGTTTGTCTATGTATCCGTACATTAATTTATGGTCTAGTCTGCATGTCTTTCCCATCTAGTAATTAAGCAACCTCCGATCTACGTCCTGTACTTTGAGTGATCCGTGATTGTGGCCTGTGATGCTGAAATGTGGAGTGTGTTTGCTTTGTGCATGGCTTGCATTCTCCACAGTCAGATGGTCATTCAGACTGACCCATGCCTGTGGTGTGAGCGCCTCTAGGAGCGCGCGGGCTTTGCCCACATTTTTCACGTGTTCTGAGGGGGTTTCGTTTTTTTTCTCCCATGGGGGGGTTGCAATGACGTCGCTTGTATTTGCGCGCATTCTTGATGCTACGCTCCGACATTTTCTCTTCTATCTTTGCTCATACTTGATGCTACCAGGGCTGTGCGGCGAGTGGGCCATGTCCTGGCCTACTCCAACAACGGCATGGCTATTATGGGTTGAAGAGTTCCTTACAATATCGTAGCAAGCAAACTCTGCAGGGATGTTGACAGCTGAAAATTAGGCTTGGGGTGGGGGCTTGGGGTTGGGGGTGGGGTTGGGGCCTCTGGAGTAGGGAATTGGGCGTTTTTTTCCCTCACAGTTGCTCACAACTATTTTTGACACGTCTTGAAACAATTAGCCCGAGACCCAGCATGTGCGCATATTGCATGGTGTTTATTGAAAAAATATGTGTAGATAATATTTGTAGATTAGACACGCCATCACATTATAACAAACATAATTAATTATAGGTATGTTGATTCATGTGTACAATGTGTACATCGGTACAGATTCATGGGTTGAACTCTTCCTGCAGGTGTCGATTGAGGATTTGGAGGAGGCTTTCAGCCAAAACAAGATGAGTACCTTCATGGAATCACTGGGCATCAGCACTGATGACGCTTGATCTTCACCCGTTGTTGTGATACTGGCACCAGGGCGTCTAGGACAAAGCCGATGCATGCCCAAGATGCGGAGATGCTACTTTATAAGATCAAGGTAATTTTTAACGATTAGGACTTGCAACATCCATGACATATTCGCAGGCCCACACATGCGCACACAGGTCCGCACAGACACATCATTAGACTCAGACACTTGCGTTGGAACATAGTCACGTACCGTGCGCGCGTGTGCATGCGCGAGCGTTCGGGCAGTGCAGGCAGGCGGGGGCCGATGCGGGCGCGGGCGGGCACGGGCGGCAGGGGAACGGCCGGCCGGCAGGGCCGCCGGGCGGGAGGGGGGGCGGGCGGGCGGGCGTGGGTGTGTGTGTGTGTGTGAACCATCTGAAAAGATGTATAAAACCTCTATTTCCGATTTTCGACTTTACTTTCCGGTTTTGTTTGCATCATTTCAGTCAAAGCAGGGGCACATGGCATCCTTGACCTACCGTGTGCAACGAAGCTATGGTCTTGGATGGGATATCAGGGCTGATCACCCTGACGTACCTGCATCAGTTCTGTTTCTTGTGATGGGATGTGGCTAACCCAAGAACCACCACGCCGTTCTCAAACAATTTGTTTTTGCCATTTGCAGGGTTGACGCAATCTGTCAAGAGAGGTAACGACTTGGCTTAGATGGATTAGTTGCTTTTAGCAAGGACATTGAAAGAATTCCTTCGCACTGTTTCTCGCTTCGAATCGTCAATCAATTCCTGTCAGGTTTAACTGGAGTGTTTTTTGCACGTAAGATGCATTCCACATCAGAATTTTCAATGACTGTTCTGAGCAAGTGTGTGGTTCATGCTGGATTCGTCAAGGTGGCATGAACACTTCGAGGAATGCTTTTCTAAGCAAAATGTGAATGCAACGACCTGATGTCTGAATTTACACTTTTGAATCCGTGATTCGTTTAAGTAAAGTCAGGGCTGGAAATGAATTTTCACCAAAAGCCTCAACGGGTCAAAGGGTCGGTCCCGGAACTCAGGAAAGCTCCAAGGGTTGTGCATAGGCCATATGCGGATGGGACTAGTAACACTGTGAGGGTTTGGTTACGGTTATCAAGTCGCCTCGCTGAGTTGGAACGGCAGGAAAGGAATGGTTTTCGTATCACTAGTGAACACAACCTCCGAAAGCATCTCCAAAGATGCCCTCATTACCATGCTGGCATGACAGCTGCTGACGCAGAGCGAAAAGTCGCCGACTTGGTTCGGCAGAGCCACCTTTCCAAGTTGCAAGCTTGGAAGGACAGACTTCGAGAGGACAATAAAGAGGTTTTTCGTTGGGTCCGGACTGACCCCTCTTGCCCGTGCCTTAACATCTATGATGATGAATTGGGTCCTGAAGATCCTGCCAGTGCTGATTCCCAGGGGGCGCTGTTGAAATTGCGCGACCTCTGGCGTAGGGTATGGGATAGACAAGGTCATGATGGAATGGAGCCGGAAGCTTACCTCAACACGTTTGCTGAGGAAGCGTGCGCTGAGGAATCATGGCCAGAGGTGACGGGGGGGCACCTTTGCGAAGCTGCTTTAAAACAGAAAAACCGGGCTGGAGGACCGGATGGCTGGACAGGTTCTGAATTGGCCGCTTGGCCATATGAAATGCGGGCGGATCTTGCTGTGATCCTTCAGTGGTTTGAAAAATTGGGTGCTTTTCCAACGCCGTGGCAATGGCTTACCCAGACGCATATTCCTAAAGAAGGGAGCTTGAGGTCGCATGATCTTGCGCAGCCTGCGTCCAAACTCAGGCCGATCAGTCTCATGAGCTGTTGGTGGAGAGTCTATGTGCAGGCTCGATTGATGGGCGATCAAGCTCAGGCATGGATCGAGAGAAACCTCCGCACTTCTCAGGCGGGGGGTCGCAGAGGCAGAGATTGCCAGGCCAGTTTTGTGGAGCTGGCTGAGTGTTATGCCAAAGGGTACCATGTTGCCACGTTGGATCTGAAAAAGGCATTTGATCACATCACGCCACAAAGAGCTTGTGCGTTTCTCAAATGGTTTGGGTTTCCCAAAAATTTGGCTGATATCATTTGCGGTCTTTGGGGAAAACAGAAAAGAATTCTCCGATGGCATGGAGACTGCCTGGCCGATGCCCAACATGTCTCTACCAGCATCCCTCAAGGGAGCATCCCTCAAGGGGACGCGTTCAGCCCCCGGGTCATGAACCTCTTGCTGAGTGTGCCAGTGAAGCACATCACTATGTTGCATCCTGAGACGGTGCCATGTGTGTTCATGGATGATAGAAGTTGGGGTTCCCCTGGGATTCCGGATTTGTTGCAAGTGTTGGCTTGGTGGCGTCAACATTCGCACTTCTTGGGATTGCGTGAAAATTTTGACAAAAGCCAATTTACACATAGGGATGTCAAAGTCAGAGAAGACATGAAAACTTACGATGCTTTACGTGAAAGCACCCTGGACCATTTGCAGGCTTTGGGTGCTGTTCTGGGTAAAGGTGATCTCTTGGCCTCTGAGGTTGCCAGACTACAAAAAGCTGCAGTTGCTTGCGCTAAGGTCAGACTGGCTCCAGTCACGGCTGGGCGTCGTCACTTTGTGGCAACTATGGCCGCCGCTTCTAAAGCGGTGTATGGCTGGTTTTGTCGGGAACCCCCAAAAAAGATGACGGACGGTCTTGAAACGAAGTTGCGACGAGTGGGGTACTCACACCCTCAGAGTAACCCTTGTCTGGCTAGGTTGGTGCTAGGCCATGGTATGGATGTGCAGTTTCAAAGTGGAGCTGCGGTGATTTCTGCAATAGCCCGAGCCATCATGCGGCGGGGGTTTCCTTTTTTGGATTGGAATATGACTGCGGGGCCAGCCCGCAGGATCAGAAAATTCCTGAAAGGCCTGCAGTGGGTCGAACTTGCTCCGTGGTGTTGGCAACATTTTGGGGCTCAGGTTAAGTTTTCATTGCTACCTGACCATGAGGATTGGATCTCTGATAAGGATCATTTGTTGCATGTTCTCAGGGAAGGATGGCGTGCATTTTGGTGGGACAAGTGGCGCTTCGGAAAGCGTCATGATGCAGTTGACTTTCGCAATGTACCATACAACAGACACTTGACATGTCAGGCGCGCACCCAGGCGCACCATGGAACGACTCACGAAGTTGCTACAATGATTGGAGCCTTTGTGAGCCCTGCTTGGTATGACCGTATGACACATACTGAGGAACCGTCGCCTTGTCCTTTTTGTGGCCAGGTCATTCTCAATGCAAATCAGGAAAGTGCCATTGGTTTTCATCACATGGTTTGGCAGTGCCCCGTGTGGGCAAATCGCCCTGCAATGCCGGAAAACATCATCACTGCGCGCTTGGGATGGGGTGATCCGGTGGTTCTTCGGCACATGGCCGAGGTGCGTCGACGGATTCTCGACGCGAGATGGGGGCGGGGGGGTGGGGGCCTCTTGCAATTTTGCATGACATGTGGATGCGTCAAGGGTTGTTTACTATTAGTTTTTCCAACCTGACATTGGTGCCATGTTCCCGGGACGCTTTCCCAACATCCCTGATTCTATGTGGAACTTTGGATGGAATCCTCAGTCGATGGGACTTCATGGTCAATTTTGCGGAGGTGATCCAATGAGTCAACAGTCTCAAGCTCAGGCTCAGGCGCAGATCTCAGCACTTCAACAGCAGAATGCGATGCTGAATCAACACCTCCACTCACAAGCTCAATCCCACATCAACCATCTCCAACAGCTTATTCCATTCCACCCACCTCCGCAACCGCTTCAACCTACGTCAGCTTCATTCCAATCCACACCACAACCACCAGTGCCACAGGTATGAGAGCCTCCGGCACCTTCGGCCACTCCAGCCGATCAACCTGGGCCTTCCACGCCCTTCAATCCAGATGAGATGCTCCAACAGATGAAGTCCACAGTGGAATCCAGTATTCAAGCCATGGTGGTAAAGACTCAAGTCCAGTCTGCTCCACCATCAAACCTCCCAGCTACCATGCCCATGCCCTTGCACCCTACTAGCCATCATCAGTCAACTCTCCAACATCCACCTCCTCGTCAACGATCTCCTCGACGATCCCGGTCTCATCATCATATTTCTTCTCCCAGGAGACCTGACAAACGTCCAGTCTCCACTCGTCGCAGCCCACGACGAAGACGTTCACCCAGGCGACAGAGACGATCCTCCAGGAACCGCTCCTACTCCAGGAGCCAATCTCGACACCGTCATAACTCCCCAAGAAGAGATCGTGAGAGTTCTATTACTTTCAAGTCAGCCTCACCTCAACGACGCGATGACCGACCCCCAATTGAGGAGTATCATCAACCACATGACTACTGGAAGCACTACCCCAAGAATCCCTCCTCCAAATATCAACCTACATGGGAAGATCCCAAGCAATCTTCCAATCGCTACGACTCTTCCCACAATCCTACCACCAAAGCACTTACAGCATTCTCCACCTCCAAGTCAGCACCGCCACGCCGCAAGGAAACCACGCCTGATCATTCAGGAGATGACCAATCTCAATTTTCAGAGCCCATCCCTTCAAGTCATATGCTCATCAATCTCCGGGATGGATCCAAAGCAGAGTGGATCCGGGGAGTCAGATTTGGACTTCGCCACCCAGATCGAATGAAAGCGGCATCGGAGGTTCCGTATGCCGAGCAACTCAAACCAACCAAGACCGTCGGCATTGAAGAGTTCCAACGAGCAGTGGCCGCTCTGCAACGAACTGATCCAAAAATCCCCTCAGAGATCACCAAAAAAGCGATCCATTTGATCTCCAGCACCTATCTACTCCCCGTGTTTGACTTGGAGCGATCCTTCATCATCGATCTACCATCGACAAATATGCTGGCTTTGATTCTTCCACTTCCTGAGATCTCTCGCTTCAGCATGCCACCTCCATTCAAAGACGCCCAGAATCATACCTGGCACTCCTTCACGGCACTGCCATCGAAACCGCTCAAGCCATCTTGCTGGCAGGAAAGATCAGACCAGCCAACTGGTCATTCAACAAAAACCTCAGCAGATGTGATATGCCCACTTTTGGAGCTTTTTATCTTGGCAGAGAAATCGCCAAAAGCGATACCTTTCCAGATTGGGCGGCAAAAGAACTGATGGATACCATTCAAAAGAAAGGGAAAGGACAACAAGAAGTGATCGTGGGGGCAATGTACCGAGGAGCATGCCCTCACACTGCTTTCAAAGCTGGAGGCAATGAAATGGCACAGATCTCAGTTGCTGACAAAGGGGTGGCTACCACCTCGGAAAATACACGGTTGCCCACAGCAATCATGTCGGGTTGAAATTGATCGCCTTGAAGTGGCAGAACTTGCCAACGATCGTAGATGATGGCGATTCGTCAAGCGATGATTATACTTACCGAGGCATCAATGAACGCACTAAGGAGACCCACTCAGGACACCGGAACGAGCACCATACATAGACTCATATGGAGAATGAGAGGCTTTGTGCCATTAGATTTTTTTGTCTCAAACCGGAAACCGGCTGTTACATTTCTAGGGAACCTGGACACGCTTAGAAAAAACTGCACGGCTGTCTCAATCTGAAGTTCACATGTCACTTCTCTGATTTCAATTTGCACTTGCAAGTGTGACTGTCGACTCTGATGCCAGCCGTTTGATTTTTTACTTTGTGTTGTGTTCTTTTTTCATTTAGTTCATGTGGTCTTCGGTTCACTTTTCTGGTTGTCAGCTTTACACCTCCTTCTGTAGAAATCTTTCACTCTCAATTACCTAGTGAGTTATTTCGGGCTTGTCCAAGCATGGCTGACTCTGACCGCTCTCGATCACCGGCGCCTGGGCGCAATCGCACTGAACCACGTGAACAAGTTCATGCTCCTCGTCCAGAAGTGCCATTCTTCCCGCGATGGCGTGGACCTATGAACTCGTCAATTTTGGACTTTCAGAACCTGCCGCGCCCTCAGTCTCGACCTCAGTGGGTAACAAACCAGCCGGGACCTTACATGATGGGACGCATGATGAATCCGTCCCAATCGATGATGCAGACCAATTGGTCACATCATCAGTTTCTACCAGCTCCTCCACCGTTAATTCCACCCACTTTGCCATATCTTCCATCTTCACGCCAAGCCACTCCACCTTGCTCACCGACGTTGCTGTCCACCAACGCAGCCGTGCTCTCCAGGCACACCTTCCGTATCCTTCCGTCCCTTCGTCCCAACCACGTCCACATGAGACACCTTCTTCGACATCACCAGCAGGCCTCCGCCACCATGAGGCGACCAGAACATATGGGTTTGATTTAAACCCTCACTGGCAGGACGACAAGGACCACTACGACAATCAGAAGATCAATGGATTGAGATTCCCCCGAACCATTCGTCAGTCAGCTTTCACTCAAGAGCTCGACATCGAAGGGTGTGATCCTTTGGCTCTACCGTTGGCGGCCTTGATGTATCAACAGGCCAACAACTTCTGGCTTCGAAAACTAGCTCATGGTCGTGAAGTGTACCTGATCCCTACGAGGGAGATCGCAACTGTTGTCTTCATAACAGAGCTTTTGACGCAGCTCAGAAGCCGCGGGGTCGACCTGGACCGTGTCTCCCATAGCCGAGCCAGGCAGGATGGGAAATTGCTGGACAAGACCAACAACACCAAATACGCAGCTCAACAAATCGCAGACATCATTCATAGTTGGGTACCAGCTCGCACAACCGATCCAGACACCCAACATGAGATCACCCAGCTGAGAAACCAGTTGGCAGAATTACGCCAACGTGCAGGTGAAGACCCTGGTGATATACACGCTTTGATTGAGTGCTTAATATACAGTTTAATGGCCGACTGTGATATCTGATTTAGCTTGGAAAGGTGGGACTACATCTGAACTGCGCGGTTGGGATCATGTTCATCACCAGCCCCAACGGGGCTTGTGTGCGTGTGCCTGTGTGTGTGTGTGAAGCATCTGAACAGATGTAAAACTTCTATTGGTTGTCTCAATCTATTTTATCGCAGGGGGACACAGCATTTCACTGGGACTGTGTCCCACGAAGCTACCAGTGAAATGGGATATCCAGCTTGGCCAACCGGACGTACCTGCAATCCGTTGTGCACCAATTTTGATGTAAATTTATTTTTCGTGAATGGCAACCGGCTAAGCCAAGAACCGGACAGAAGATCATTTGCACATGCCGCAATCTGATTTACATACTATTTGATGCTGGAACTGTTGATGCCTGCTTCCAACCTGGCATTTATTTTTTGATTCTGAACCTGTTGATGCCTGATCCCCACCTGGTTAATCCTCCCTTTATGGAATCATTTGAACACGTTTCTGGTCGTGATCAATTATCGGTATTTGTTCGTAGACATCACAATGTACATCGCGGAGGGCTCCTTAGGCTCGCTACTCCAATTTGGTTGCCATTTGAAGGGATTCAGTTCCCAACAGATCACTCCAATGATCCAATTTTTTATCTACTGTGTGAAACCCGTTTTGTCATACGGGTATTATTACATATTATTTCAATAATTCAACATAATCCAACCAGAGCAAGGGGCCTGAGACTTCTCAACAGGACTCAGGCCAACGAAGGCGCCTGTTGAGAAGTGTGAAATCATTCTGGGACGCCAGAATGACGTACCTGCCAACCGATTTCTCATTTTTGCATGTGTCAATCCTGATTGAAGGTCACCTAGGAATCAGGCGTCCTCAACTTCTACATTCCTCAGCAACCAACAAATTTAAGCAGTGTGTGTGTGTGTAACATCTGAATAGATGTAAAACTTCTCTCTTTTTCTTCCTTCTGTCCTCTCCCTTTTTAAACCTAATGCAGGGGGCCTGAGGCTTCTCAACAGGACTCAGGCCAACGAAGACGCCTGTTGAGAAGTGTGAAATCATTCTGGGACGCCAGGATGACGTACCTGCATTTTCTGACATAGCAAGGGGCCAAGCTCAGAACCCCAAACACTATAGTTTTATTTCTTCACGGTTGCCACAATCTGTTTTTGATGCATCAGAACCTTCCTCAGTATTTTCGCCGAGATCATGTCGCCGATTGTATTTTCGATTATTTGGATTATTTCGCCGATTGTATTTTCTGTTATTTGGATTATTTCGCCGACTATGTCGCCGATGTATTTGGAATATTTTGCTGAAGATCGTGGACGTGGAAACTATTCAGGATCAGATTTGCATGTTTCAGGATTCAGTTCCTGCCGGATCATATAATGATCCATTCTTGTCTAGTGTGATTTCCATGGTGGCTCCGACATGGTGCCATGGAGCCATTTGAGGCAACCCTCTTTAGGGTGAGTGATGACTGTCCTGACTGCCGAATTAACACATTTTAAGTTGGTAATTCGTTTAAGTAAAGTGCAACAGCTGGCCTTTCCGTTTTGCACCGCTTTCTGAGTGTCCCGCTGATCCCGCGGTCCCTTGTGAAACCTCGTGGAATACACCTCTGTGACTGTGAAGCCGTGCTGAACATTCAGAAACCTCCTTTTTTGCAGCAATGTCACAGCGACACAGAATCATGCCATGACAAAGGAACCAGGCAGGCACACGACTTCCAGGTGTGGTCCTCTTTCTTTTGATGGTTATCTGGTGAGGTGAAACATATCGTGCACCTAATTCGCTGGAACTTGAAAGCCGTTATATGCCCTTGTGGCTGACTTGAACACGGGCCTGGATTGGCACAACGCACGACCTTTAGGTTTAGGAACTGAATCCTGTTTTTAATTAATTGTTTTGGTTTTCCTGTCTGTCATCAACTAGTCCCCCATTTGGTCCCTAATTTCCCCGCGTGCCTCTCCGTAATGTGTCGTGGGGTTTAGGTGTGTGCGCTGTTTTGGTCAGGTCCGTTTCGCCGTGTAGGTTGGTTCCGGAGGTCCGTCTGTTCCCCTCCCCCCCCTGCGCTGTTTTTGGCCTTTTGCCCTTCGTGTGTCCGCTTTTTTCTTCCTCTTGCCTTTCAGGGTTGACCCGGCTCTGGCCGGGTGTGTGTGTGTGTAACATCTGAATAGATGTAAAACTTCTCTCTTTTTCTTCCTTCTGTCCTCTCCCTTTTTAAACCTAATGCAGGGGGCCTGAGGCTTCTCAACAGGACTCAGGCCAACGAAGACGCCTGTTGAGAAGTGTGAAATCATTCTGGGACGCCAGGATGACGTACCTGCATTTTCTGACATAGCAAGGGGCCAAGCTCAGAACCCCAAACACTATAGTTTTATTTCTTCACGGTTGCCACAATCTGTTTTTGATGCATCAGAACCTTCCTCAGTATTTTCGCCGAGATCATGTCGCCGATTGTATTTTCGATTATTTGGATTATTTCGCCGATTGTATTTTCGATTATTTGATTATTTCGCCGACTATGTCGCCGATGTATTTGGAATATTTTGCTGAAGATCGTGGACGTGGAAACTATTCAGGATCAGATTTGCATGTTTCAGGATTCAGTTCCTGCCGGATCATATAATGATCCATTCTTGTCTGCAGCGGGCAAAATTAAATCAAGGTAGTGGTCATTATGCACAGAACAGTTACATCAGCACGGCAAGTGCGTGACCCCCAAGCGATTCCGTGAGTTTTAGACATGATGTTCATGTGGGTTTTGCAAGGCCAGAAATCTTGAAATCATGGGGCCCAATGAATTATTAAGTCAGGTGTGGTGACGATCCATCTGAGGATGTTTGGGGGTTGTTCCTACTTTTAGATGCGGATGGCAACGGCGCTGTGGATTTGGACGAGTTTGTGACTGGTTGCATGCAGCTTCGCGGGCCGGCAAAGAGTTACTTGCCTTTGGCGGATCTTTGGGCGAACAAAAACAATGCCGTCACCGTACAGTACATGAGAGTTATGAGTACATGATAGTTAAGAACGGGAACCATCCCAGGAATATATAGTTTGTTTCTGCTCGATGAATTTTGAAAAATTGCCAAGACGATATGGATGATAACCCCGATATGTCAGGATCGTCATGGGCGCAAAAAGGTGGCAATAGGGGGGAGGTGGATTTTCCCCCTTTCCAGATGTCAAGCCAAGTCAGTCAATCCTCCAGCACCTCCTCCTCCACTTCTCCTTCCCCTTCTCCTTCCCCTTCTCCTCCTCCTCTCTGCGCCGATTCAACGGCTTATTTGCGCCTCCTCTTGTGAGCTCCCGCATTCATTGGGCTTCGCCGGACCCGAACATTATCGCGAGGTCGCAGCTCACTGTGGCTGCCGCGCCAGAACGAAATACCGGGTAAAATGTTAAAACAAATGCAAGGTGAAAAGTGCTGTAGAATATCAGATGGCATGTCAGAATATAAGTATAAATAAATAAATAAATATATATATATTATATATATATGTATGTATGTCGGCCAGATGCAATGTCAAAATAAAAGTCAGATAGAAAGCCAAACTGAATGTCGGGATACATGTCAGAGATGTCAAATAGAATTTTTGAACCTTAGACAAAAGTGTCCGAATATATGTCATGTAGATGTCAGGTAAAATGTCGGGATGTATGTTGTCATAATCCATACGATAATAATTATTGCCAAACAAAATGTCAGATTGACTGTCATGCAGGATGTCAGATAAAGAGGTCAGAATCGGATAGAATGTCAGACTGAACGTCAGAATCTACGTCCAAAAATAGATCAAATTGAATGTCAGCATGTGTGTCAAAATATTTGCTTGCCCGATAGAATGACACAATATATGGCAGATAGAATAGCCCATAAAATGTCAACATATAGTTTTTATATGTTTATATGAGATGCAAATTCTGTGTATATATGCGTGTTGGTGGGGATTGCTCGAAGAAATTTCAATGTGTCTTTAGCTTTCGTGTGGGGTTGCTAGCGGGGCTTCAATGGCCTCAGCGGACTTGGCCAGGTTTGCAGATTGCTAAAATGAGTTTTGAGAATAAGCTCACTAGACGCTTGGCGCGCAGTAAGCTCAGATGGTAAGGGCCGGAATCGCTAGTGGGTGCCAACATTGGAAGCTTAGGACAAGCCATCAAGAACCTTACAGACCAGATCCAGGATGTCAAACATCTCATGGTGAAGCTTGTTTGCAAATTGCTGGAAAGACATGCGAGAGGTCCGTTCTTCTGACATGGGATAGCACGGGCCTAAAGACAAGGAACCATGGATAGTGAGTGCTGTGGCCAGAATCGTTTTCTGTTAAATTTCCAATACATGTTGCTTTTCAAGTATCCAGCCCAGTGTCAACCAAAGCACAGCAACCATCACCGCCACAAGACCTCTGCACCAAATGATGCCTGATGGGGGCTTGCTCTTTCAATTTCATTGTCCAGGTGAAATCACTTGATCATTTCTGGTGAATTCTGTGTCTTTTGTTTTTCATTCTCACTAGCCATCAGCACCCTCACCAAACCCACCAATCATGTCAGGACGAAGGTTTTGGTCCGAGAGTATGTGTGAGCTGCGAAGCAGCTTTTACGCTTTCCGTACCACATGCGAACAGCAAGTTGTCGTGGAAAATTCGACGGCTCGCAGGCATCCATGTATGATATGTATGCATGCTTAGGTGTTGTGTGGTAACTTTTCTGATTTGCAAATAGGATTCCGAAACTATTTTCTCATGCAAACATGTTCACAGTATTTCCATGAGCTATACTGAAATAACGTGAAGTTTGCAATGTAGTGTAGTGATATGTAATGTAATGTAGTACGGTAATACGATGACATGCAGCGCAGTGGGCTGCAATGTAATTTGATGCAATGTCAAATATTGTCAGGAAATTTGAGAGAGAGAGAGAGGTATGTTCTGTTTTCTGCCTACAGTAACGTAACGCAACTTTACGTAACGCAACGTGCTGTCTGTTATGTGCTGCGCCGTGCTGTACTGTATTATAACGTGGTGCAATGCCATGCAATGCCATGCAATTCAATGTATCGTACTGTGCTGTAATGTAACGTTCTGCAACGTAATGTAATGTAATGCGGTGTGATGTAGTGTGGTATAGTGGTATGTATGTCTGTTTGTCTGCATGTACATGTGCGTGCGTGCGAACTTTGTACATAAGCTATGTAATGAAGACCCTGCATGCAATGTGTGCAATGTATTTTGTGCCTGTCATGTGTGATGTGTGCTTGTATGTTCCGTATGTTTCATGGTTTGTATTTTGGGCATGTTAAGTATTGAACGATGGGTGTAGGTACGTAAGCATGCAGGTATGCAAAAATGTGCGTATGTAGGATTGTACGTATGTATGCTAGTAGTGCGTGCATGCATGTATGTCTGTATGTCTGTATGCATGCACATGCATGTTTGTATGTGAGTATGCTCAACATGCACAAACAAGTACGTGACGTATGTGATATGGGCAAGGTATGAAATGTTTGTATTTGCTGCATGCAATGTGTGCAACGCATGTGGTACAACGTAATGTCGTGCAATGAGGTGTGTTCCATGTACGTATTGTAACTGTAATGTAATGTAAAGCAATGTAACGCAATGCAAAGTAGAGCCATGTAACGTAATGTAGTGTATTGTAATGCAATGTAACGGTGTTGAAATGTCGTCCATTTCATGAAATGGAATGTAGCGTATTGCCATGTAATGTCACGCGATGTAATGCAATGCCATGGTATGTGCTCTGTTGTGTTGTGGTGTGCTGTATTTTATTGTGTTATATTGCATCATATTGTGTTATGTTGCAGCTGTCTTGGCTGCAAGTGACAAGGCGAGGCCTCATTTCTTAATTTCTATGACATTCATCATGCTTCTGGTTGGATTTCTCTCATGTCTTGGGACTTGGTCCCTTTTCTCTGGTGATGCCATGCCGCCCTTTGTCACACCTAACAGTGCCCTGGGAGTCAACCAATTTCAAAGCTGGGTTGGAGATCGCGGACAGATCCGAGCTCATGATTGAAGACAGCAGTTCAATTTTCTCCGTAAGCCCTTTTCCGATTGCCGCTCTGCATGAGGGTAGCAAAGGGCCCACTGTTGCCGTTTGGAATAGCTTGAAAGCCCACGTTGCAGTGTGAGGACCCATAAATTTTTCTTCGGATAGCCAGCTTTCACTGATCAAGTCATCCCAGGCTTGCGAGATCAAAATCGGAAATGAGCAGAAATTCACTGCACCCTGTGAGTTGAGGCGTCAAGATGCTGGTGTTACAGACTGGTCGGCCTTTTCCAACCGAAATGATTTTGCAAAATATGCAGCTGAAATCGTGGCTTCCATTGACTGTTCAGAAACAGCTTCTTGGCACCCTGCCTGCAGTAACAACGACTATCTGATTCAGAAGGTCACATTGCCAATGGCTTGCAAAATGCCGCTGTACCCATTGAGCGGCCAAAGGTCCATTCAAATCAAGATGGTACGAGCTCACAGTGATCCACCTGAAGGCGGCTTTGAAATCTTGCGTGTCAACCGGCACGCATCGCCTATGCCGATGGTTCTGCATGAAATTTGGTGGCAGGGTAGTGGACATGATGGGTGGCTTGGAGCCTTCTGCTCCCCACATGGCGTTTTTCTTCGATAGACTGATGAAGCTTTGGCAAAGGCAAGGTCCAATTGGATGAAAAATGATCAGCGGTTCACTGAGTCCAATCGTGGCATAAATGTCAGCGCAGTGGCTTGTTCAAGGCTTTGGCCCAGGGACTACATTGTCGACTGCCTATGACCTTCTGTTCGGAGTTGGATGGCCTGTGATCCCCTTAGGATCATTCCAGAAGAACGGTTTGACCTCAGTTGTTGTGGCTTCAGATTCTGATCCTCCACAGCAGCGCTATGCAACACATCTCGGTGTGCTGATGATCTCCTCTCATGATCTTCGTTTTGCTCATGGTGGAAAGAAGAAAATCATTGTCTCTGAGGGCAAGAGTTCGAACAAAGAGAATGCAACACCAAGTGTGAGTCGTGAACTTTTGCGGTCACTTCCACCCCAATCGTCCCTGCCTGACCCATGGCAAGCCTCCCGCAACCAAGCCTTGACAATGCAAGCCGAAGATCTGGAAACAAATTCGGCAGCATGGAAAAGGAACATAGTGAGACCAGAGAGCAGATTTCGAGGCTTCACGCTTCTCAGCAAGATGGCTTTGGATCCCTCATGGCAGCAACTGAGGGTCTGAAGCTACAAAGTGGTGCTCTGTCTGCAGCATCTACTCCTGTGCAGAGTCCGCCGGCCAAGGTCCAGAAGCACTCTTGATAAGTAGACAGCTAAGACAGCAAAAGGCAGATGGACCAAGGACAAGGATGGACAAGGTCCTTCTGCCCCAGTCGGAGAGTTTTGCAGCTTGAATTCGGGATCCTAGCTGTCCTGGGCTTACTGTCCCTTCTGCAATGGTTTTGGCTGTGCCTTATTCATTGTTTGGTCTCTTTTTTCCGGTCTCCCGCAGATCTAAACAGTCCCGAAATCGGCGGCGAATTTTGTCTTCAGTTCGAAGGTGCAGATCCAGATGTTTCTTTTTCATGATAGTGATCCAATCACAGCTGTTCTCCCGTTTATTTGCTGGTGACATCCAGCCTTTTAATTCAAAACTGAGAACAAAGTGGTTTCTGCGGAAACTGTACTTGCCAATTTCGGCTTTTCCTCCTTCGGAATTCGATTTTTATGGTTCATTCTGGCCCTTGGTTTGGTTCTCTCTTTTTTTAAGAAAGTGTGTGGATGGGTCTTCCTCATGTTTTCCCCTTGCTTAGGATACCCAGGAGAAGAGGTTTTAGGCCATTCTCAATTTTTTTGTTGCTGATGAGTGTATCTAAGCAATCTGTTTGCAAGAAACCGGTGTTCCAGCAGGAAAGGTTTCTTCGTTGAGCGCACAGGCTGAAAAAGCTGGATGGCACCTTCGCTGTCGTCACCAGCCAAATCCACGGCGAATTCAAGGTAGGACAGTTGTTTTTCGACAGCCGACTGGCGGAATCGCAATTCTTACCTGCAAACAATTCCCAGTCAGCGTAAGAGTTGCCAGAGGAATTTCGCCATCTATCCGAATTTTGCATGATGACCTGGCTCTCCGTCAACAACGGAAGGACAGGAGTCATTTTACTGCATTGTTATTTGCCTTCGGGGCCAGCTGTTAAGGATGAGTGTGAAGATTTGCTGTCTTCCATTTTTGAGTTTGCTTCTACCCTGGGCTCTACACCTGTCCTTCTCACCGGATATTTCGAGTTGAGCGGACAGGGGAATGGACTGATTGTTACGCCGAGTTTAGAGCAGCTATATAGTAGTTTACCCGTAGAAGCAACTTTTTCAGCTTTGAGCGGCCATGTTTGAAGGCTCCATGTTTTGCAATCGTCTATCTTTGGGTGGTTAACCTAAATTTAGACATACATGGAAACCTGACTGGTCTTTGATTTGCAATTATGAATTATGAACGATAATTTCGAAGGAGGTGCACGTCGCGAGCTCAGTGGGATGAGTCTTATTAGCTACCTGTAAGGACAACCAGCCAGAGGGAAAAACAAGTATTGTATTGTACTGCATTGCATTGCATTGCGTTGCATTGTATTGTATTGTGTCGTGCTGTGTCGTGTTGTATTTGATTGTGCTGTATGTATTGTACTTCCACATGGGGTTGGGGTCGTCGCTGCGATCGTAATCAATGTAATCAATTGTGCCTGTGCTCATGTTTTTTGTTGTGCTGTATTGTGCTGCATTCTATTTTAAAATCTTGTGTTGTACAATTTGTAGTTGCACTTGCAATCATAACTTAGCTTTTTTTAAAGCCTCGTAAACAATGCTTTTTATAGCTCCAAGAGACGCGGTGAACGTAGGGGGTACGAGTGGCTAACGGACGTGGTGACGAACGTAAAACGAACGAGTGAACGGACGAGTGCACGTGTGAGCGAACGAGTGAACGGACGTGTGCGTACAAGTGGACGGACGTGTGCGCGTACATGCGTGCGTTTGCACGTTCACTGGCCGCGCGCGCGCGCACGTAGGAAAATAAGGTCGACTGGAGTCGACCTTATTTCTGTACGTGCAAAGCGCTACAATACTAAATCAATACTAAAAAAAGGTAGAGAAAGGCAGGGTCGTGCAAAAATAAGGTCGACTCAAGCCGACCTTATTTTCATACGTGCGTGCGCGCGTGGCGAGTGACCGTGCAAACGCACGGACGTACGCTCACATTTCGCTCGCACGTACGCTCACTCGTACATACATACGTTCGCACGTAAGTTCACTCGCGCGCATGTCGTTCACACACACATTCATACCCCCGTTCATGTCACTCGTCACTACACGTACGCTAGATAACAAAAGCTAATATATAACTGCTTTGGTTCTATTGTGTTGTGTTGCGTGGTGTCGTGTATGGTGCGGTATTTTATTGTCTTGGTCTCTTTGTTTGCTTGCTTGTATGGTTTCATGTATCTGTGTAAGTCTGTGATGCAGCGCAACGCGATGCAACGTAATGTCATTTAATGGAATGTGTGATGCTCGTCATGTTTGGGGATAGCAGTGTGCGGTCATGTAATGTGATGTTATGTCTTGTCCCGGCATGGCATGGTAATGTAATGCAATGTTTTGTCATACCATGCGTTGCAGTCTATTACAATGTGATGTTGTGGTATGTTATGGTGTGTT